TATACACTTACATACATATATTTAGAGACAGGGTCTCACTCTGTTGCCAGGGCTGAACCGCAGTGACCCCATCACAGCTCACTGTAACCTTGAACTCCTGGGCTCAAGCAATCCTCTCTCCTCAGCCTCCTGAGTAGCTGGGACTACAGGGGTGCATGACCATGCCCTGCTAATTTTTATTTTTTGTAGAGACAGGGTCTCCCTATGTTGTCTAGGCTGGTCTCAAACTCCTGGCCTCAAGCAATCTTCCTGCCTCAGCCTCTCAAAATGTTGGGATTACAGGTGTGAGCCACCATGCCTGGCCTCTAACCACATTTACTGAGCGCTTACTATGCTCTAGGAACCACGCCAAGAGGTGTTATATGGATGATCCCATTTAATCCTCTCTATGGCCAGTGAAACAGCGCTATTGTTATCCCAGTGTTACACACAAGGAAACTGAGGCCCAGAGAAGTCAAGTGACTTGCCTCAAGCCACATAGCTAGTGCTGGGGCCAGGATTTGAACCCAGGCTGTCTCATTCCAGACTCCATGCATCCCTGCCACACTTTGCTGGATTCACTGATCACGCAGCATAGTGCAGTGGTCCTCAGACGTGCATCAGGATCACCCACAGGGCCTGCACCCCCGCCCACCCCCTGCCCCAGAGTTCCTGCTTCAGTGGGTCTGGAATGGTGCACGTCTAACAGGTTCCCAGGTGACGCTGGCATGGCTGGTTGGGTGGAGACGGACACTTTGAGAACAACTGGCTTGGCGGAATGAGCAAGGCAGCCGGGATGGGGAGCCCTTGGTTGGGGCTCCATTTCTGCCGTTGTCCAGCCTCTCTGACCTTGGGCAGGTCGCCCTTGGAGCCTCTGTTTCCTCGTCTATGAAATGGGGATCATAACAGTGACCTGCCTTGAAGGTAATGGTGAGATCGAATAAGGTGACACGTGAAAGTGTCCGGCTGCTGCCTGGCGCACTGCGAGTGGCCCTCGCATCCTCGCCTTCCTGTCTCTTCCCCCTGACATGGTCCTGTGCAATCAGGGGTCCTCGGCTTGTCTCTCATACTGACTTGCTCTGTGCCCTCAGGCGTGTTGCTTTCCCACTCCCGAACTCAGTTTCCCCATCTGTAAAATGAAGCAGTTAAACTAGATGGCTTCTAAGACTCCCTCAGGTGGGAAATCCTGGGAATGCAGGAACCCAGGTGACCCTGGCTTGCCCAGGATTTCCAGGGTCGGGGCCAAGCCCCCACCCTGCAGGTGGCCCTGGGTCTGGCGAGCCTGAGGGGATCCCCCTCTCCACTCGCAGGGCCATGGTGCACTACTCCTGCCAGGAGCTGTGCCGCATCCTCTACCTGCTCATCCCGCTCCTGGAGCGCGGCGACGAGAAGCACAAGATCACTGCCACCGCCTTCTTTGTGGAGGTACAGCGGGCACCGGGCACGGGATGGGGGCTCTTCATGCCTCGGTTCACATCCCTGGTCATTTCTTCTGTGCAAACAGTCCTTTATGATGTACAAGGCCTTTCCCTGAGCGTGATTTCTCTTGACCGTAAAGCGTCACAGGCCTCCTTCCCTTCTCTCCGCCTCTCTGCACCCCCACCACGTTCCACTCTTCCTGGGCAGCCAGCAGCTTTCGCTGAGCACGTCTGTGTGTCAGCCTCTGGAGATAGAAATACCCACTAATACGCATTTGACTGCACCCTGCCCTCAAGGATTTCTTGGTGTAGCGGGGGAGACAGAGGACACCCAGTTATAACACTGGCTACCATAGAGAGACTTGTGCTATGGTGGGGAGTCCAGGCTGTGGCAGGAGAACAGGAGACTTGAGGAGCGAGGCACCAGGGAGAGCTTCCTGGAGGAAGAGACATCTGAGCTGAATGTGGGAGGGAGAAGGTGTTGGGGAGAGACGAGTCAGGAGAGGTTGCTGGAGACAGACCAGAAGGGGGCAGCTCAGCAGTAATGCTAGCTGGTGTTTACTGAGCACTTACTATCTTCCAGGCATGTCCTAAGAGCTTTACACATATTGAGTCATTTCATCCTCACACTAATCCTAGGACAGGGACTCTAGTTTAACTTGTCCTCAGAGCTACCCTAGGGCCCTGAACAGTGGCCCTCCCTCTCTGAAACAAGAGTCTTCACCCAAGTTCAATCTTCTCCCACCTCCCCAGAAGAGGCGCCCATCCTGGCCAGAGTCAGCTGCACTACCTTTGCTGTGGCATTTTGATGTAGCTCAGATGTCCCTCTCTGGCTCCCTGCAGCCCTCTGTGTGGGGATTGTGTGTGTGTTTGCTTCTGCCAAGGGCGACAGAACTCCTCAAGGGAGCTGTGTGACCTTGGGCAAGTTACTTAACCTGCTTGTGCCTCAGTGTCCTCACCTGTAACGTGGGGAGGATGAATTGCCCATCTTAGAGTTTTGACGAGGATGGAATGAGTTCCCCTAAAGCACTTAGAACAGTGTCTGGCACACAGGACGTGCTCTCTGGCAGCCAGGTGTACTGCTGCTGTGACTCTCATTACTCCCTTCTGTGTCTCGAGTGCCTAGCCCAGAGCCCGGAGCAGAGCAGGCCTGAGTCTGGGTGGTGCGGATGGGTGGAGCCCCTCTTTCCCTGCCCCCTCCTCCAGCTCTGCCTCTCTCCAGCTCTTTCCTCCTGTCAGAAAGACACATGGGCTCAGTGGTGGCAGTTAGGCAAGGGCGTGGAGGGGACACATGTTTAGGAAGATGATGCAGCAGAAATCGAAGACCTCCTGGCTGTGGGAGGCCGGGGGGGCAGGAGGAAGAGGAAGGAGGTGAGGGTGATACCCCGTCTTGGCCTAGACAAGGGGGGGCTGCTGGTGCGAACCCTGCGACGGGGAACACAGCGGGATGGGCACTCCTAAGGAGGAAAAGAGACGAATGTCATGTTGGACCTGAACTCAATCAAGTGTGCCCTAAGCACATAGTCCACACCAGAGTTCACGTTCCTTGGGTGACAGGGACCCAAGGAGGAATAGCTCAGATTTTGTCCTCAAGGAAGCCCCCAGTTGGACGGGGGAGGCAGGGCACCCAGCGGCCCGGAGAAGGAGGCGGTCAGCCTAGGCAAGGCCAGGGGCAATGTCAAGCATAGCTTCAAGGGGCTGAGTTTTGGATGGGGCCCTGCCAGGTCATGGGGTCAGAGTGGAGGTGGCGTCTCAGCAGAAGGGCATCCTGCTAGCACAGAGGGGACGAGGGAGCTGGGGTCATTCAGGGGACGCTGGGCAGCTTGGCTAGAAGCTGGCCGGCTAGTGGTAAGAGCGTAGGCTGGAGGGTGGGCCCTCGGCTGTGAATGAGGCCCCAGAAGCCAGCAGGGGCCAGATGGGAAGGGCCACGGGGAGCCACAGGGGCTTGGAGCTGGAGCGTGACCTGCTCAGCTTTGCCAGGAGGTGCCGATGGACACCACACTGTGGTTTTCCAAGTCTGAAGCTCTGGGCAGAGGCTGAGCCTGGTTATCCAATGTGCACTGTGCGTGGGACAGCAGGGCTGCCTGCCCCTGGCCCGGGTAGTGATTACCATTTGCTTCCTCAGCTCCTCCAGATGGAGCAGGTGCGCCGGATCCCTGAGGAGTACTCTCTGGGGCGGATGGCAGAAGGCCTGAACCACCACGATCCCATCATAAAGGTGCTGTCCATCCGAGGCCTGGGCATCCTGGCCCGCAGGACCGAGAAGGTGAGTGGGGGGCAGAAGAAAGCCTGGCCCAGCTGGCCCTGGGCTGGAGGAAGGACACAGCTTGGTTGTCACAGGCTCTTGGAGGCTGGGAACTGGAATCAGGAACCAGTTCTGTCCCAGCCTCAATCTCTCCATCTGTAAAATGGATATCCCTTAATAATCTCTCTACGTTTTATTCTTTTTGAGTGGTTTCTAATCCACATTTTTCACGATGACCCTAAAGGTGGTGTGCATAGGAAGGGCAGAGGAAGGCAGTAATTATTCCGATTTTATAGATTAGGAAACTGAGGCCCAGATCGTCGATGCATCATTAACATTTTAAAAAGGGCTTTCTTTTCTCTACCAGGCACTGTTGTAGATCATGATGTAGCTGGGATGGAGGGACAGCATGTAGACTCAGAAAGCTAACTAACAATGCAGGGTTGTCATGCCAAGGAAGGGGGTGGATGGCAAAGAGCCTTGGGGCTCTAGGCCAGGAAGGAGCCAGTGAAACCAAAGAAGGCTTCAGGGAGCAGCGAGAGCTTGGCTGAGGGCATCCAGGCGGGGGGATGGACAAGCAGAGGCCTGAGAGTGGGATGGGGCACCAGGTTCATTTCAGTGAATCAGAGGCGGGGCTTCCAACTTGCTAGCCCGGGGCGGAGCCCCCATCCCAAATGCTCCTGCCCCGCAGATGGCCAAGGTGCAGGCCCTCCTGCCGTCCATGGTGAAGGGCCTGCAGGGCCTGGATGGGATGCTGGTGGTGGAAGCACTCCACAACCTCAAGACCATCTTCAAGGGGCAGGGCCGGAAGTTGGTGGACAGCTCGGTCTACCTGGAGATTCTGCAGGTCCTGCTGCCGCACTTCAGTGACGTGAGGAATCCACAGAGTGTGGGGGAGAAGGGATCCCGTCACCCCACAGAGAGTTCTCTTATTGCAGCTGGTCCACAAAGAGAGGGCATATTTTTTTTACTGGTCCCAGCAGAGGAGGGATTTTTCTACTTGCCATTAAGGCTAATTTTTAGGTTAGAGGGGCCCTGGCTGGGAAGGGTGGAGAAAGCTCCAGACCTAGGCTGGAGTGAGGGGAACGCTGGCCCCACATCTGCCTCACTGGGTGGGTTCCTGGAGGAGGAAGCCCCCCTGAGCCTCCGGTTTTCCCCAGTCACGAGAGGACGTGCGCTCCTCCTCCATCAGCCTGTATGGGAAGGTGGTCCAGAAGCTTCGGTCCCCACACACTGAGTCCATGGAGGAGCAGCTGGTCAGCACCCTGGTGCCACTGCTGCTGACCATGCAGGAGGGCAACGCCAAGGTGGGCCAGGTACGTGTGGGCACTGGACCCTCTGCCTCCCCTCGGGCCCTGCAGCTGCGCCTGCCTTTATAGGAACCACGCCGGAATCACAATCAGCCCGGGGAGTGGTTACTGATGTCCGGCCACACCTGTTTTCCAAAGGCACCGTGTCCTGACTCCTCCTTAAAACAGCCAATGTCACTTGTGTGCTTTCAATAGATACTGATTTTTCAAAATCCAGTTTTCACATAATTTTTTTTTTCTGGTACATGTTCTGGCTGTCCTGGAATTCCACAGCTCTGCTATTCTCTTTCTGTTGGTCCCCAGATATGTATGAAGACCCTGTTCCAATGTTCTTGCTTCATGGCTTGGGAGTTGCCGAAAAGGGCTTATAGCCAGAAGCCCTGGGACAACCAGCAGCAGACAGTGGCCAAAATTTGCAAGTTCCTTGTGAGTGCTTCTAGAGACCACAGTGGTTCCTTACAAGTGTGTTGGAGGTGGGGAATTCTGTCCTCTCGTCTTTCCTTTTACACCAGCATCCTTCCTGACATTTTCCGTGACTGCCCACAAGCTGTTGGCTCCGAACGCTCATCTCCGTCTCTGACTTCTCTGCCCACTTCTCGTGTTCCCTGTGGCTTACTGGACACCTCCCCCGATGAGCCACAGGCTCTTTGGGCTCAGAATGTCTCTTTTGAACTTACACCTTCCCTTTCAGTTCTTCTCTGTCCCTCTAGATCCCCAAAGCAGAAACCTAGAATCTTCCAGGACTCCTCATCTCCCTCACTCTCCATATCGGATCACTCTTAAATATCCCAAATATCTCAGAGTCTGCTTTTCCCGCCACATCCCCACTGTCATTGCCCTTAATTCAGAGCACGGATGTCCCTCAGTTGAGCCATCGGTCCAGCCACCCAAGCAGTCTCCAGCCTTTAACCTCATCCCTTCCAATCCATTCCCCACCGAGGCCACCAGAGTGATCTTGATAAAACACGAGTCTGTCTATATTATGTTCCTGCCTAAAGGGCTACATCAGCTCCCTTTTCTACAACATCAATCCCCAGGGTGTACTCCCTGAGACATCAGTCTCACAAGATATGCCCCACAGGGGAGAAGTTTCCAAAACAAATAAGTTTGGGAAATATTGCATTGTCATTTTCCTCTTGGAGATTTGCAATGACATCAGCACATTAAAGGCTCTGAGATGTTCTGTGCTGAGGAAACGTGTTCATGGTTGTTTACTTCATGGTTTCCCAAACTTATTTGGCCACAGAACCCCCTTTCTAGGTGATACCTGAGAGCACTGTGAGGCAGGAGCGAGCCACACACACTGCGAAGCGCCCCACCGCAGGGTGCAGCCCAGCCCTCCACATGGCATTTGGGAGCTTTACCGTCTGGTCCCAATCTATTAATATAATACCTTCCCCATCGCCATGGGCAGGATGAGATCATCTCGCAGGAGGCTTATAGGGGAGCACCCTTGGCCCCCACACCTGTGGAAGGGGGGGCAGGAGTGGGAGTGGCAGAGGGGAAGTCAAGCTGCAGTGTACCTTCAGTGGAGGTCTCTGCCAAATGGGGCTGGGGTCAGGTCTTTCCACCCCTGTGTTCATCTCTCACTGGATGCCCACCACCCTAGCAAGGGACTCCACCTTGGGCCAGGCAGTTCTCTTCAGCCCAGGCAATCCCCAGCGCTGGGGGAATAAATCCTTCTGTGTGGAGGGAGATGTGGGTGGGGTGTCCAGCACCCCCACACCAATCTAGCATAAATACACAGAGCAGTAGATTGTTACAGGATCGATGCTGTTAGCAGTAATGTTCAAAGCCTCTGCAGTCCAGGGTCTAGTATTATTATCACTTTACAGAGGGGAACGGAGGTCTGGAGTAAGTGTTAGGCCAGTGGCTAATTCAGATGCCTACAGTGGCCAGTGACTGGGCAGATAATCATGAGTGACAAGGAAACACCGGGGCCTGAGTAATCGGGAGAGCCCAGGCCCCGATGAAAGCCGGAGCGGAGAGCTTCAGCTCAACATGTGGCCCCTCGCGACAGGTCCTCTGGTTTCCCAAGAAAAACTAGAATCCTACATTTTTATAAGACTGATTAGCAATCAATTTAGCTTCTTTAAAACACTGTGCTGGTCACTGGCCTGCAGGTTACTGAGGCCTGTGGCCGTCAGCTTGTGACCTCTGCATTAGACCCCTCTGGTTTCCTAGTTTCTTCTTTGTTCTCTAGGATGTGAAAAGCTCTGCTCATATGAAGGTTGACCTTAGCTTTAAGAAGGGGTCAGTAACCTATTCATTCATTTGCTCATTCATTCATCTAACACCTTCTGGGTACCTGCTCCAGGCCAGGTCCTATCCAGAGTGCAGGGGACTCTGAGTGAAACTGCCCCTTCTCCTGGGAGAGCTGTAGAGACAGTGGTGGAGACAGGTGTAAATAATTACAACACAATGTCATAGGCGCCATGACAAAGGATGTGCAAGATGATCCAGAAACATCAAGGGTGGTGCGATGAGCTCTGCTCGAGGGCCGTGGAAGGCTTCAGGGAGGAAGTGACATCTGAGCTGCGGCTCAAAGGACGAGAGGGAATGTATCAGTGAAGAAGAGAGGGAAGGACACCCCAAATAAGAGCAATCACTTGTTCAAGGCACAGATCTGGGAGAGCTGGGCTGTGTCCTGGGACTAGCGCATGGTGTGCACGGTGGGTGGCGGCAGTGCTGGGGGTTGAGACTGGGAAGGAAGGTTAGACCCAGAACATGATCATGAAGGCTCTGCATGCCAGGCCCGGGAGCCTAGCCCTTGACGTCGCAGGGGTTGCCAACAGGGGAGTGATCATGTCAGATTTCTCTCCATCTCCCTCAGCAGTCCCTTCGCTGGACAGCTGCCTCCCAGTGTCTACTTACCAAACCCATCCCGACTACCACTCTCAGACTATTTTGCCCAAAATGCTGCTTTCTCACTGCCCCATCAAGAATGGGTGCTGGGCCGGGCGCGGTGGCTCACGCCTGTAATCCTAGCACTCTGGGAGGCTGAGGCGGGTGGATCGCTCAAGGTCAGGAGTTCGAGACCAGCCTCAGAGTTGGAACTGGAGCCTGATCATATTTTTTTTTTGGAA